TAAGCAGTCCAAATAAAAATAAAATCCCAAGATATAGGAGGAGAATAATGACACATGAAGACATATATTTTTTGAAAAATACATTTTGACAAATGACGTAAATTATTATATGAAACTTTATATTAAAACTTAGTGAGTAATCAAGATGCATGATGCGGTCTTTCTTTTCTTATTGTTGTTCGATATTCGTATTGGTCAACTTAATTATATGTAGAGCCGTCAAAATGGACTTAGCTCATAGGGTGGGCTTAACTCCACCTGTTTTTGGGATAGGATTGAGATAAAAAAATTCAATCCCATTTAAAATTAGGGCTTATAAGCCCAACCCATATAAGCGTTTGGCCTTTGAGGGTTGATCGAGGCCGGGCTAGGGTCGGCCCATGGGCCAGAACTATCTATTTAAGGGTAACTTACAACAATTTTACTACTATATAAGCTAATTACTTAAAGGAAAAATTGTATAAAATAGCAAACTATTAATTCAAATTAAATGTTATAACCACAGTTTGATTTAATTGTAACCCGTAGCGAACTGTTGTCATTCGCCTCTCTCCCTAAAATTCTCGCTCGCTATTCTCCTTTTCTCGTTGGCAGTCTCTCTCTCGCCTCTTTATACATTTGTGTTTGTATAAAGTAAGAGAAAAATTGTATATACAAATACATATATTTTCGTCCTATACACTTATAATTATACAAGTACAGATCTTCCCTGCCCAGTTTTCTTCTGTCTTTCTCTCTTTCTCGCTTTATACAAATACAGATTATACAATTGATTCTTTTGTATATGTATACCGAAATATATATATTAATAGTCATAGCAAACATACAGTTTGCTATGCGCAATTATACAAACTATAACTATAGCATACAAATATGATTTTTATATTTGCTAAACCTAAAATTTACTCTTACTTATGCATGTTATGTTGTAATATTACAAATATTATCAGATTTTAGATACATGTATCTCGGGATACATAACTCAAAATCAGGTTAATTAGTTTTAGATACACTATATCCAAGTGAATTCACATGTATCTAGAATACATGAACAAATTCTGCGCCCTCACCTCCCTCCCATCTGACTCATCACTCTCTTATCTCTCTCGTGTATCTGGGATACATCACACAACAGATACATGTATCTCGCATATCTAGTATCTTAGATACATGCTAATCACACTAAATTTTTTGCTAGTGTTATTGAAATAATACCATTGTTTGTCATATTTGATTTGAAAATCTTCTCATTTCTTGATGTTATAGAATTTTAAGTTTGAAAAGAAAAAATATGAAAATTAGCCCGCACTAGCCCTCGATCCTTCTAGGGTTGGATTGAGTTGAGAATTTTCAAGCCCTTCCAAATGAAGGGCCGCCCCGCCCTAGCCCATCAAATTTCTTGGCCCGCGATGCTTGGGTTGGGTGGGGCTGGGTCAGCCCTTTTTGACAACTCTAATTATATGTATTGAGAAGCTATTTTCGGGACGATGCTCCAAAAATATTTGAATTTATGGTTTGAAACAACATTTAAGAAAATAAAGAAAGATTTTTAAATCTCATAATCATAAACTAAAGGTATGTTGAAATGAAAATTTTAAATTTAAATTAAAAAATTGTCTACATTTTATTAAACTAATTAGAAAAGAAAATAAAGACAAAACAAACTGAAACGATCGAATGAAGTACTCTTTTATATATTAAAATTACTGAAATATCCTTAAAGCTATTTATGTATAATTATTTTAAAATTTAGGAAGATTACTATATTGAAGATTACAAAAGATACTAAAAGAATATTCCTATTCCTATAGAAATAAAATATTTCTTGCGATGTTTTTTTTTCTTCTGAAAAGTAAAATGTAAAATAGATAATCATATATGTCATAATCAACAAATATTTCCGAAAACCTTTTTTTCTTCACAAGAATTCGCTTGTAGGAAAATAAAACGTCCACGCAAATCATTCTTCAAATAAATAAAATATGAAGACACAAATTGACTTAGAATTTATTTTTAAACTTTGTATTCAATTAATACTTTGCGTGTGTTCATATGTAAATGCGAGAGCAAATAATTTCTATAAAAGTATATTCTATCTGTCTTAATTTATGTAAAAGTATTAATTGAATATAAAGTTTAAAAATAAATTTTTTATTTTAAAATTTGTGATCAAAATGAACTATAGATATTTATGTGACTATAGATGAAAAATAAAAAATTTAAGTACTAAAAATAAAAAGATGTCATTCATTTTTATATTGACTATATAAAGAAAAGAATGTCATATAACTTGAAAATATCCAAATATATAATTACGTCGAAAGAGGGCTTTGGGCTTTGTTTGAATGGATATATAGCTTATGATTTTTGATTTATTTTAGCTTAAATATAAGTGTTTAAAATACTCTCTCTTTTTTTTTTAATTTTACCCAACAATATATAATATTAACCTACAATTTATACTCTTATGAGTGACTAAATTGGTGTAGTAGTTGGTATCCCATAAGATAAGTCAGTAATTAATTTCCCTCGTCATTGTCATTCCAATTGAACTCGTCGCATTAAATTTACCTAATATTATTTACATCTTTCATGTGGTTTACAAATTATTTATACAAATGGTTGAAGTAAAATAAAGATAAAATAAATAAATAAATAAATAAAGTGAAACAATTGTCAATTTCACTTTCCACCCCATGCATGTGTGTTGTTTCTTATTTTTCAACATGTAATTATCAACCACGGCCATTCATGTGGCTCTAATCTTTCGTGTGGGGGAACCAACAATTATTATTATTATTAATAATAATAATAATTATTATTATATGGCCATTTCATGTCATACATTATTATCGATGGTCAAGATAGATCAAAGAAAAGAACTAACAAATACATAGACTGGCAATTTTCTTAAAAATCGAAGGCGCCAAAAAACGTGGGCCTTTTTACATAAGAAAGGGGGAGAGCGCCAGGAGAACGTCGAGACGCCATCAGTTTGGGGCGCGAGGCCAGCATTTGCTTTGGGAGTGTGAGATAGGCAGACGGGGAGTACGCAGCCGAACAACCGCTGGGGTTTCCAGCAGTGATAGCTGAACTAATCAGAAAAGCCCCGGAAATGGTCTGCTTGAGCGGTCTTAACATCCTCATAGAAGGGAGAATTATGCCTTTTATCCCACCTGATGATTCAACTGATTTTTTTCAAGCAATCGTTTTATATTGAAAGAGAAGAAGAAAGTGAATAACTTTGTAAGATACGATACACACCATTTTAGCTCGATAATGATGTAGTGAAAGATAAGTTCGTAATAGTTATTGAATCAAAATGAACAATACATAATACATGTTATGTACTTTGGGTTGTGAGTCTGTGACATATATAATAAGATTATGCTTATCAAATGATGTAGCAATAAGAACAATAATTAAGTCCAATTACAACTCCCATATATGCTCAAGTCAATTTATATTCTAAAACATATAATTTCTTATCTAAAATTTCTTGTTGTTCTATCTATCTTGGTGGCATTTAGTTATTACATAATTTATTTATTTATTGAGTATTAACACTATTTAATTTGTTATATCAAATTTAATTACTAAAAGTTATATTTAAACAACAAAACTACGAAAACAAAATAAATATGTCCTTAGTCTATTTATATAAGATTTACAATAAGCCTATTGCTTTATTTTTCTTTTCGAAAACTGAAGCACCCATATATTGCATTTGGAGCCTCTATTGCATCAACGGTGAAAATGAAAAAAAGACTCGGACATAATAGCTTGAACTGCTTTAGGCTCAAAATCTTTAGACAAAATCACTTAATTGTTTTTTTCGAAAAACAATCAAAAAACAATTATTTCTTTGTCATAATTATTTTATGTCACCTTTTCAAAAAGTAAATCAAAACCAAAGTCAAAAAGCCCACCAAAATGGATTAGCAAACTAACTACTATGTCTACTTTTGTGTGGGGTTTTACTTTCATCAAAATTCCTTTCATATTTTCTACTTTTTAATCACACATTTTAGAAATGATAGTTAAATGATTAATCATTATTTAGTACACATTGAAAATGTTTTTCAATATTAAAAGTGGAGGTGGAAAAATTGTCTTTTTTTCATACCGCCTTTATCAATTGGTCAAATGTCCAATAATTGGAAGAGACATTTTTATTTTTTTCTACAATTCATGTAGGAAATTAAATGGTTTATAAAAAGATAACATTTGAAATTAAGTGAATGTGAATGTACAATTGAAATGTTGTGAGTGAAAACATAATGAGCCTTTAGAAACTGCTCCAACATATTTTTAAAATTTTATATTTTAAGTTGAAATAATGGATTAGTTTGATAAACAACTACTTATATCAAATAGATGTTATATTATCAGGGGCGAAGCTATGTAGTTGTACTAGGGGCAGAGCTAGGTAAGACCATGATTAGTAACACCATCAATCAACACGACTATTGAAGAAGATGATGATCTAGAAAGAGAGGGAGGAGAGTGGCAAACGAGAGAGATGTTTATATAGTTATGTAGTTTTTCTTATACAAAATATGTGCATTTTGTATAAATAATGTATACTTCAGGCATAATACATAAACATGCCTTTAACTTAGCCTCAATTGACATATATGCCTTTCAACTTTTGGTTTGCACAAGTAGACATATGAACTTGTATAAAGTTGAATAACTAGATACACATATCCTATGTGGCAATTCACGTGAAATACAATCAAACCGATTTATATTTTGCACATAAGACACATGTGTTTACTTATTCAACTATATAGTGTCTACTTGTGCACACCCAAAGTTGGAGAGCATAAATACCAGTTGAGACAGATTAAAGGGTACGCTTATGTATTATGCATATACTTTATACTAAATATATACTACTATATGATATACACACACTATTCTTATACATAACATATACAACCGAAATGTATACTTCGGCCATATTGATAAACTAGTTACCCAAGACCAAAAGCACAAAATTAGAAGGTACAATTCCATTAATTTTTGAAGCAAATAGGCTTAGCCAGAAATACATTATCCCTGTTTCTATTCTACCTATCATATTATAATAATCTCACAATAATAACATTGACAACATTCAAAGCAAGGTACTAACACATGAAAATATGCAGACATACTTGAATCCCTATACATTCTTGAAGTATATTTCTACTGCTGATAGAATGGGAGCAAACTCTTTGAATCATTCAATCACTTTTCAATATCACAATGCCCTTAGAGAATCATATTATGCCCATCCAAACAAACACTTTCGATTTGTTTATGGCAATCTGTTGTCTATCCTGCAAGACAGATACTCAAGAAAGCTATGGTCGGACACTTGAAAATATCCTTTGATCTTGCTCTTATAACTACCACCATCATTCTAGTTGCATATTCTGAATTACAAACTGCACATTTCACTCTATTCCATTTAGTATATAAAAGTCTACCTAAAAGATATACCCCCATCCACTTCTGTCCCAAAAGGCATCTAAGATTAGTATCTAGACTTGACGAAAGACTTTCTTATATACATAGGAGGAGAAGATACCAAATATCATGCAGTGACTTCAGGTTCTTCAGCTACCACCGCGCCAGTAAGAAGTAGTGGATCAGATCCATCAATTTTATTTACCTTCCTGCTTCCAAAAGAAACAGCGACATTGGGTCACAGACCGCCATATGCATAAACGATAAAAGATATTTATCATGGTACCAGGTTAATATACAATCAAAGCTAAGCAAATATATATTAGCATATACTTTCAAACGACGTTGAAATCATCTCACTAGAAAACTTATAAACCAAGGCTAACTATTGTTTGTCCAAACATAACAAGTAGAGCCAACCAATCAGAAAAGGGAAGGTAAGATTACAACACGGAGATATGATCTAACACTATAGTATTCCTAGGACAAAAACACCATAATCACTTCAACATGGAGATAGTTTATAACTTGATTTAATCTAAAGGACTGTAAAATCATATCAAACAAGTTACATCCAAAACAAATAGGCGGTAAGTGCAGTAGTAAATGACATATGCATGATTTTACCTTTTCTAATATAGAAAACAATTTGAATGCCATGAACTTATGGGAAGAATTGGAAGGTGAAACAGAAGAAATATAACTACGCTAGTCTAGAGGAAACATAGATAAAAAATTTACAAGCTAGAGTGTCAGAAGCACCTACTCGCATGTCTTCTTATTGTGGCCCAGGCCCTTGCACTTGCTACACTGAAGTTGACGTTTAAGTATATCAACTGTATCCGGTTGTTTCATCTTTGGTCGGCCAGGTGGACGTTTGGTTGGAGGAGGGCTGACCATGATTTCCATGTCTACTTCAGCTATCACGGGTTTTTCCAGAAGGGGTATTGGGTTGATTGATTCTGAGTATGTCAAATGATAGCTCTCAGTTGTGAAGTATCTGGAGCAATAATCATATGGGCTCCTTCCCAGACGTTCGAGAACAGCAATAGCATGGCAGCAAGGCAACCCATTAAGCTGCCATGCTTTGCAGGTGCAGTCCCAATTATCAATATCAACTATATCAACAGCTTCACCACGGACCTCAAATGTGATCCCATGTGAGTGTAATACCTGAAGTGATATTGCCTTTGACGTCTCATCTTGAAGCTTTTCTTCCATAGAAGGTGTCAATCTTGTAAGCCACTGACTAGAATCAACACGCCTTGTATAATTCAGTTCCATCATCCTCCCTCGCAAGGCATCAACCATCTGAGTAATTGGAAACTCACTCACATCGGATACCCAATCACGAAAAAGTTGTCCAAAGTTAGTAGTCATGTGGTCATACCTTGCCCCACCAAAAAGGGCATTTGCCCAATGATCAGGATCACTTCGTATGACCCAACTGTAAGCATCAGGTGAGATGGCCTTTATGTTCTCAACACAGCGCTCAAAATCCTCCACTTTTGGAGCATAAGCAGCAGCATATAAATCTTGGATCAAAAGACGCCTTGCTTCATGTGAAAACCTCCCATGCAGATCCTTATATAATTTCTCACCAAGGTACCGAAGACAATAACCATGATAGCAATCTTTGCTGAATATATCAGACAATGACTCATTTATACCATTCTGGAAAGCAGAAACAAATGTTATTGGTCGAGAGGTTGAGACAGCAGATTTAAGTTCAGAAAGAAACCAATGCCAGTTGTCATCTGTCTCCTCATCTACAACTGCAAAAGCTACTGGAAAGACACCATCATTCCCATCAACACCCACGGCAGCCAACAGGGTTCCTTGATATTTTGCATAGAGAACAGTGCTATCAAGGAAAAGAAGAGGGCGGCAGCCCTGTTGAAAGCCATATATTGAAGCATGAAAGGAGACAAATAGCCGGTGAAAACTCGAGTCCTCCTTTGTGGCAAATGTAGCAAGACTACCAGGATTAGTTTCCATGATTTTCTCACAGAATGACGGTAACTGACTGTATGCTTCTTTATAAGAACCCTGAAGTTGCTCTCTTGCAATCTCTTTTGCACGCCATGCCTGAGAATAGTTCAAATGAATGCCATATTCACGTTTAATGTCAGTGGCGATATCCTTTGGCTTGTAATTGGGAGAAAATTTCAACTTCTCCTTAATTATATTTCCCACCCATCCCCTTGTTGCTCGATATCCGGCTTTCACAGCAGCTCCTTCACATGTATGGTTTTTATTCATTTTCTTAATACATATCAGCTGGGTGGTAACCAACCTTGATGCATATATACGCCAAGGACAACCCTCAGACTTGCATTTAACCGTTACTCTGTGACTATCATTCTTCTTATATTTATATGTAAATCCATGGGCAATTGAGTACTTATGTAAGGCTTCACGAAGTTCAGTAAAACTACTGAATCTTTGGTCCACACCAGTAATAGTGTTTTCCCACTGTGTAGCTGCCCTACGGTGCTTGTCGTCATTGCTACTCGGAAGAATATCTAATGGTATTGTATCCACTGGTGCATCAACCACAAGCTGACTGTGAGGGTTTGTCAAATCCACAGGGGTAGAAGGAGAAAGTGCTGCCTCTGACATAGTTGTCCTGCTGGACGTGAATAATTCAACCGGCCACAGATGCATTAGAAATCACATTGCAGTAAAGGAAAGTCCTGATTCTCACATATTGGGGTCGTTTGATAGGGTGTATTAGTAATGCAAACATTAGTAATGCACAAAGCTAATCCATGCATTATTTTTTCTAATATATCCTATCATACACCCTCATTAAGTTCAAGAAACCACTAACACCAACATTGAACTGAAAATTTTGGAATTCAAGGTTAACTATTTGTAGAAAAAAGGAAAAGGAAAAAATCATATTCAAGATATGTGTGTTGAAAATATGTTAGGCATATTATCTCATCTAAAACCTTAAGTTGTTAGATAGGGAACAATTCTATTAATTTATGTCTGCAACATGCCTCTTCACGTGCATGTTTGATTCTTTTTCTTGGTCCAAGCATGTGGAAAGTATTCTTTCCTTTTAATTAACCATGGTGTTCGAGCTAGCTTACACACATCGACTAACTCCACGTGGAAGTATTCTTGCTAATGGTAAGAGTGATAATTGAGCTCAAAATCTCTATCTGCTCTAATACCATTAACCCCTTTATGTTTCCTTATAATTCAAAGCTTATGCTTTGGTTTAGCACCCTTCTAAGCTTGAGAAACCTCATCCACTAACTTTAAAATCTTAACAGTTAGAGAGAGAACACTTCTATTTATTTATAACTGCAGCAATACAAGTAAGAAAACGAAAGAAAAAAAAATGAACTCGACCATAAGAAGAAGAAAAAATACCTGCTAGCAGGCATATTGGAAACATTGGGTGCACCAACTCCTTCTGCAACTACAAAGACTTCTACTTGCTCGGAATCCTTGAAGAAGTTAACCATGCGTTGTAGGTCCTTATCTTTGGATACTGTGATGAGTGTCTTTTTATTCCCCGGAAGAAAATACTTGATAGTCATTCCATCAACGTTAAACTTAAATGTGTCTGTTAGTTCTTGCTTAAAGGCATGCACATTCGTATTCTCATCGATGTCTACAGCATGTGCATTCCCTCCCGTGTAGCTCAAAGAACCGTCTTCATTATTGGTCACAAATTCTCCACCAGATTGACATATTGCAATGATTTTTTTTGCAGCCATCGCGACGAAGGCAACATAAAATGTCTAACAAATATTGCTAAACCAACGTTGGACGAACAATTTGACACCGGCTCCTGATGTTGCAGCAATACTATAGCTAAGAACTATTTGCATAACAAAAATAGCAACCTATGCAAAAGATAAATAGTTGAAAGTTGAAACCTTTTAGCATATTAAGTACTAACAAGTTATACCCAAGGGGAACAACATAACAGTTGGAGTAACAACTTTGAAACTAAGCTTCAATCCCAGGCCACATTGCACCTCGACTAATTCTACAGATACTTTGTTACCTTCCACCAGCACATGTATCGAGTAACTCAATCACTAAAGCTTGAATGATAAGGTCTCATGGGGAAAAGGAATTATAATGCTAGGCTATGTTGCTCGGATTTTCTGAAAATGTTACATGTGTCGGATCCTCCAAAGAAATACATTTTTGGCGTACTCGGTATGTGTGCAACAACTTTAAAACTAATCAATTCACTTGTAGTTTGGTGTGAGGCATAAAGTATAATAATCTCAGCATAAAATGTGGGGCTATTTTATCATGCGTTTGGTAGGTAGATTATTTATTCCATCATTTATATCTCGGTGATGAATAAGTTATTTCATCTACATGGTGAAATAATTTATCGCTGAATAATTTATTCCTGATAACTTATTCCGAACTAAACCAAAAAAAGATTTTTTTTTTATAACCATGGTGTCTGGGGAGACTAAGCCTCTACTGATTGTATAGATACTTGCTACTTTTCAGCGGGTACAAGTATAGAGTAACTATGTTCATTAAAGTAAGTGCTTTTTTTTGGAGTATCCGATACAAGAGCAATAACATTTTCGAAGAGTACGAGCAAAATTTGGGTACAATTAAAGAAAAACAGGCAATGCAAAAGCTAGTAAGAAGGGGGATAAAACACCTAATCAAGCACATAGAATTGAAATTAATATGAAGAAAAACTTACAATTTTGGAAGGAATTTATCATTTCAGTTTAGACAAGAAATAGAATTAGGGAAAATTTATGGGAACAAATGCAAAATTGGGTTTCTAGATTTCCTTAAAATTGGGGGGAAAATGAAATTACCTGTTAAAGATGGGGTATTCTCATAATTTCTGCTTTGTTGATTTATCTTTTCAATTTTCATGGCAATAGAGAGAAATATAGAGAAGAATAGTTTACAATTTAAGCTATTTCATTTTATGACCTAAAACTTTGCAAAAATGCCAATTTACCTTTGAATAAATATCATTCTTCTCTCAATATTTCGAGATATACAACTTTCATCCCTTTATTCTTTAGAGTTGACCGTCTTTGTGTCGTTTCAATTTTATTATATGTGTATAGAGAGAAATTATTTTCTATAGATTGGTAACACCAAGGCAATTTACAACATAACTCTAGAGTTTATTGTTTTCGTGTTGTTTCAATTTTATCAGATATGTGTAGACTGTAGAGCAACCATATTCTATAGATTGATAACACCAAGGTAATTTACAATATAGCTCCTAAGTTGTGTGGAGAACAAAAACACTTCATTAGTGTGACAGAACTTATCATTATGGTTAATATAAAGATGAATCTAGAATTTAAAATTTCTGATTTTTTTTAATTAATTTGAAGTCACATAAAATAAAACGGAAAAAAATATTGATTTCTTAATGTATTGCAAAAGTAACTGAACTTCGGTTGAGTTTGCTCTAAATTTGTCACTAGTTGAATACGTCATAAATCAATTCAAATCTCATGTACTTTAATATGTTACGTTACGTCACGTCAAGTCAAATTTCATTTATTTTGATACTCTACATTTTTAACTTACTCTTAAAATTAACGTCATCCTTTAAAGATGAGGGGAAAATTGAATTATCTCGGACTTTATAATCTTTCTTATACAAAGCTATCTATTAGTTAAAATTTGCAATCATGGTGATTTAAATATTGAAACTTCTTAACTAGTTATGTATGAAAACAATTAAAAGATGATTGTCTTTTAATTACTATGTGAATATAAAAAGTTTGTACTTGATAATCTTTAAAAATGAATAACATTAAAACTTTTAACGCCTTTAAAAGAAAAAAGGCATTTGTTAAACTTAAATTATTCTCCGTGAAGTTTAAAATCATCCATCTCAATGTTATTATGTGCAAATAAGTAATCAAAATTTTATACTCCAGACACTAAATTAACTTCTAATCTTATGTTCACGAAGTTCAAAATTGTCTTTCTCTATATAAATTATCTATACCTAATGTATCTATCGGGTCCTTCAAAGTAATACATATTTGGATTATTCAATACATTAATTAGGTAAAAAGAAAAAAAATCATAAATAACTGTGGTGTTCAGGTAGACTATGCTCGACTAATTCTATGTATATCTGCTACTTCCTATAGACACAAATATCGAATAACTTTGTCCATCAAAGCTTGAAGAAATGATTCTCAACTCACTCGTTGATTACCACGCCACAAACTTATAAGGGAGGTTATCCGACTCAAACACAACAACACTTTCAGAGAATTCAAGAAAAAATTGGGTACAATAAAAAAAAAGAGGCAATCGCAGAGCTATCAAGAAGGGGAAAAACATCTAATCAAGCACATAACATTGAAACTAATATGAAGAAAACTTACAATTATGGAAGAAATTTATTATTTCTCTTTAGACAATAATCGATTTTTCGGTCCCTATATTGTTCCACTTTTATCAGATGTGCGTAGAGTAACCATTTTCAATTCAGTTGGTAACACCAAGGCAATTTACAACATAGCTCTTAAGTTGTGTGGAGAATAAAATTACTTCACTAATGTGATACTATATACCATCACAGTCAATACAAAGATCAATCTAGAATTTAAAATTGATGAGTTTCTTTATCAATTTGATGCCACATAAAATAAAACGGAAAAAATAATTGATTTCTTAGTTCATTGCAAAAGTTAATGAACTTTCATTTGATGTGCTGTAAATTCGTCGCTAACTGAACACGTCATAGATGAAGGCAAATTTCATTTAATTTGACGCGCTAGCTACTTCAAGTCAAATCTCATTTACTTCGACAAACTATGTCATCATCATATTCATTTTTATTTCTTTTTTTTAATCTGTCACTCGATATCCGATCTCCACATTACAGTCCGATTAAATTCGAATTCGCATTAAAATCAACTTACTCTTAAGATCAAATAAACACTTTATAGTCATCTTATAAAAAAAAACTATCTATTTGTTAAATTCAAGTAAAAACTACATAAATGGGCCATAAACTCAAAATAATTACATGTTCATACCCTAATGCAAAATAATTCAAGAAATACTCATTCTCTAAAAAAAATTACAGCGCATACTCTCATTCATTAAGGCTATTAATTTTCTCTTAACTGGTAGTAAATCAGTATTAGATACTGTATTGGTATCATTAAGGCTGATAATTTCGCTTAACTAATCCTAACTCAGTATATATATATTGTATTGGTATCATTAATGTTTCTTGTTTAGAAATTACTCATTAGTCAATGATACTATAAGAG